CAACTCGATTCGCAATCTATAAAGAATAAAATAGAAAGCTTATTAATACTTTAATAATACATTTATCTCTGTAAGTCACAATGTTTCTAATTTTATAAATAGGCGGAAACTCTAATAAACTTTCAAAAATATATTGAATATATATATATATATAAAACACATATATGCAATATCAAAATACACGCACCATATATTTTGGTTTTACTTTTATAATTTAACCTTGAGACTGATTATTACTTCACATTACTTGTCTTAATATTTAGAATAAAGTAAAATAATCTTTTAAAGGAAGAGAGCAACTCACACAGAAAATAATTGAGTGGTTTAGTGGCATGAAAATTTCCTTTAAGAAAAATGATAAAAGTTAATGTTTTCATTGAATTTGTTTACCTACACGTACAAATATGTATGTATACATTGTATATTTAAACAAATATGTTCTTTATTTTTACGATAGAATATTGAAACAAGAATAAATACTAGAATATGAAAGAAATTTCAATTTTGGAAATATTAGTACCTAATTAACTTTCAATAGAGTGTATTTTAAATTGTAGTGTATGTAAATAACTCAATTGATTTCTAATTCTTGTTCGTTTGTTCGTCCGATTACAAAATTTCGGTTTTTGTATGCTCTCTAGAGTTCCCAAAGTTATTACCTATATAAAGGCAAAAATTTAACAAAAATCGACCCTTTACCATTTGTACACGTTCAGATATCGTCTATAAACGTTCTTTGTAATAATTTAAAATTAAATAGTAGTTATTTCCAAGAAACTTAGTCGTAAAGTTGAGATGCCCAAACAGCGCTCTAATCACACATTACCATTTTCCAACACTAAAAGGTCGAATTGTATTGCAACCGAATTAAATATTAAATTTTTTTTCGCAATGACAAGCTTTACTTGTTACTTATAAAAACGTATAATTTTCCTCTTTTTTGTAATAATGTATAAAAGTGTTTGTATGTTGAGTGCTTCTGTTATTACGAGTATTAACAGAAGAAAACAAAAATCTCTGGCCTTTATTTTTAGTACCTATTTTATATTTTACCAAACCTTTAACAATTTATATTGAAGCTCTGGTGAATGCAATTAAGAAATAAATAAAACATGAAATTGCTATAGAGAAATTAGATTATTGGATTTATTGACAAAATAATTGCCTGAAATTACTTTCTGCCTTTCACTTTTTGTGGAAAAAGTTCATTTCCCATAGCGTTTTCCATCTACCATACTCTAGTTATTTTGAAATTTTTCAATATTATTCGTTGTTTTTGAATTTTCTCCTTTTTTCTTGTTTATCTTATTTATTTAGTTATTCGAAAAAGAATGAGAATGGTAGAGAAAAATTAATTTATGGCATGAAAACAGCAATTTTTATTAAAGGAAAATATTTTGTATATTGAACTGTTTGAAGACAATAGGATTTAATTTTCGCTGGAAATGAAATTTGGAGCATATACGAAAAGAATATCAGCTACTCCTATTTCATCTCTATATTTTATAGAATTGCTGGTAAGGTATGATGAATGAATGAAAGTAAATTTAATTTTTATTGAAATTGTAGAATATTCTAATTAATTCTTTTATATAAAGAACGTGTATGCGAGCATATTATTACATAAAATCAAATGTGATAGGTAAAATACAAAGTGTAACGTAAATATAACGCGTAAAATACAAAGTGGAAAGTTATTAATCTTCATTTAACGCTTCAATTGATAAAATTTTTAGCGACATCTAGTTTTGTAATCGGTAATCTATTATAATGTTATAAATAACGTGATTCTGTTTGTAGGGGAAGTATTTGCTGTTAAAATCTCTTTAAGAAAAATGGAAACTAAGATGTTAAAATTCAAATTCAACTTTTAAATCTACGTTAGATATATGTACATATATATTTTTTATTATATTTTAATTTCTTTTCATGTTGTTCTGGTATATTTATAGAGTTCTCTTGTTGTTCGGTCTGACCGGTTGAAAGAAAGATTACTTTTATCTTCAACCAAATTCTGTTGCAAGACTTTTGTTCTATTCCAAAATTTCACATAAAATTATTTTTATATAAGGGTACCCCTTACACCGGCACACCGAATGTATCAGCAATACACCGAATGTAATATTTTCTATGTATAAAATCTAATTTATAACTTACAGAAACCTTATTAAATTTTCATTTACGAAAAACTTTTACTTAGGTTCCACCACAAAATTAGAAAAAAAAAACAAAATATAATTTAAATTACAAATAAAATTGAATTAAAAAAGTATTTTTGATTTTTCTTACAAAAACATAATAATTTTATAAAACAACTAATTAAACTTTTCGTTTTTCACACAAAATATATTTTTTCATACAAATTTTTTCTTCTATTTGGCTACCGTTGGTCTGTAGACTACGAAATACACATTACCTTTATTTTTAAAAAATTTATTACTGAAATATACGCAAATCATTTAATTGATTGCCGAAATTCATTAGAAATTTTATTTAAGCTGCCAATACCGTAAATTATGTTAAACTTTTAATATTTCAACATATAGAGACTTTGCAGTTTTATATATCGAAAAAAATTACCCACAATTGGCTCAAACTAAGTCAATTTAAGAAAATCTATAAGAATTATGGGTTTAGTGGCCCGACCTAACATTTTTTAGGATGACAACAGATTTGTTAATTATGAAATTCGCAATTGAATATCAAGAAATATTTGTTTAATTTAAAATTCAAAATTTTCAAATAGGTACTTAATTAATAAAACTAGACTATTTCAGGTTTTTGATTCTTATCTTAATACCTATGTATATGTTACTAAAAAAATCAAATCGATATTCCGTTACATTAAATACACTTTTATATACCTTTGAGGATAGAGAGAATTTTATAAAAAAAAACTTACAAGATAAATAAATGCTTGTATTCTATCTATATATATAATTTAATAATGTCACTCTATGTGTACATGTATGAGAAACGAATTCAAAATAAATAGAAAACCCCAATCTTGTTTTTGAACTCTACTATATTATTTTTAATGGTTTCTATGAATGAACATTATATTCTGATTATTATTTTAATCAAGTAGATATAATTTTATATAAAAATAGAATTCTATATTTTTATGATGCAATTGACTACTATTTATAATGATAATTGCTTTTAACCATTATTATATAAACATAATATCAATCTGTACTAAACATTTTCAAGAGTTTATTTTATAAATAGTTTTTTTTATGAGTTCCTATATACATAAATACATAATAATATTTTAGTTGAATAATTCTGAACTAGCAAACAGAGATACTTAAAAAGAATTTTTATATTTTAAATTAATTTTTATTTTATTTTATTTTAGTATTTTAGAACTTATCATATGTTTGTTTTTGAAGTATACTTTCAGATCTGTAAAGCTGTGAAGGACCTATTTATAACTATGTATATATTACCCTTCAGGAAAATTTTTCATTTTATACAAAATTTTATATTTTTATAACTACAATTATAAAATGTCATTAAAACTTGACTAAACAGATATGATGAAAATTGAATTAAATAAAAAAAAAGAAATATTGCAAAGGATTTTCAACGTAATAAAGTAAACATGGGTGAATCGATGAATATGTACGTTATATAACATAAAATAAGATGAAAGGGTAATGAATATAGGCTGACTAAAAATTATATACCAATAATTTCCGGTTACTAATTAATTGAATTTAATGCATTTTTTTAATTTCTGATTTAAATCCTATTAAAATCAGATAAAAAAACAGTTGAAAAACTGGATACTTTCGAAATATTCCTTATTCAGAGATTCCTTGATCTAAATATAAGGCAGCTTGTCAACTAAAAATTAAAAATCCTACAAATTTCTACACAAATTTTCAATAAAAATTAATAAATTTCCGACTATTGTTTAAATATTTGAAATATTTTCTATAAGTTCTCCGGTAATTTGCACATGGATATTTCCGTTCGTTTTTTCTTTATTAATTTTTACCTTAATAGTTATCAACTTCTCCTGAACAAACTAAAAATAAAAATAACATGTAAATATGTATTGTAATTTTGTATATATACATACAAGTAAAATTTTGGAGCATTCTATTGCCACTGAATTAAATTTCGAGTACGTGACACAATTCATTAACAATTGGAGAAAAAAAAAAGTGAGCAGTAATCTAACAAATAAAATATTGAAATGGAAATTTTTCGACGTCATGTAATTTGTCTAATTTCTGTAAATGGTTTATTTTTTTTTCTCATTTATTAAAATAAATGTCGGTGAAATATTTTGTTATAATTCCTACGTAAGTTTTACTTCATTAATACTTTATGTCAATAATGCTTGGTTAAAGCGAGTGTGTGTAACAATCTATTCAAATATATCTGGGTAAAAAGGTTGTATAAAAGAAAAAGTTAAGGGTATTTTTTTTAACATTTTAGTATTATGGTAAGATGCCGTTACTTTTTTACAGAAAATTCTACGTGCGAGACGTGACCAATTTTTATAGTAACTAAGCATTACAGTTAAGCATCTACCTACCGTCTTTTTACATATATAATTGAGAATATGAAAAAGACTTGCTATTTCTTAATATTTTGCATGCTTTCTCGAATTTTCTATTGTAAATATGTTAACATTTTTTACATTGAGCACATAACAAGTATTTATATTTAATTTTTAATGAAATATGCTGTCATCCAGTCAGCAAAATATCCTAAAATCTATATATACGTAAAGTACATTCAATACGTAAAGTACAAATTGAATTGTTGATACTCTGACTTATATTTTGCAATTTTTAGTGAGATCTTGTTGATTTTGCTCAAAAACATCAAATCCAATTTAAAATTAGCTTTTCGCATTTACTTCAGAATCACCTTTCAAGAAAAACAACTAAATGTATAGGTAACGATTGCTTAAAAGAACAATTTTTTTTTAATATTGAAAAATCAACATTACTAAAATTAATAAAATTATTTCCTCTTACCTATTGTTGTTAATACTGTTAAAGAATATAGAAATGCTCTAGCAAATGTCCAATCATATTCTTGTAAACCATATCTAGGTGGCAGTATCATAACAGCGCCTGTTGATGGTGCATTACTACCACCAACATTATTAACAGCACCGCTTTCTAACTGCAATTGAACTGACATATGTTTTGTAAATTGTTGTATTAATTCATCTTGAAATTTTTCAATTTCTAAAGCTGCTAATCTGTTTTTTGTTTTGAAGAAAAAAGAAAGCAAAATAATTTAATGTGATTTTCAGTTGTTCACAACACAATGATATATAAAATAATTAAATTAAATAAAAATACATAAGTAGTTTGACTTATTAGATAATTACAATTTTAATCCAACTTAATCAACACAATTTTCCAGGTTCCGCATAAATATTTATGCGATAGTATAATAAGTAGAAATATTTTGAATTCTGTTATTGAATATAGACTCACAAAATAATTCTTTCTTAAATATTCCTGGAAGGAATTTGATTTTAGACAAGAAAGCAGTTTCTTAAGCCGCTTATGTGCATTTTTTTTTTTGAAAATTCAATTATGCACGTAAGTATACTTTTTTATTCCGTTACCAACTAATAAATACGGTAAATATATGAAAATATAAAATTATATATTAAAAATTAAATGACATTCGATAGTCTAACATCAATCACGCTGATTATTTGATTCACCTGAATACCGCAAAACAATTATTAAGAATTAACACTTCATAAGTAAAATTAATTGGCTTCATTAAATTACTTTTAATTAGCCAATATGCATAAAGATGGGGTTGAACGATATTATTCAATAATTTTACCCTACTTATAATAACGATAAGAAAAAATGAAATCAAAAATTTTAAAAAGCATGTACTACAATGGTCGCAAATATTGAATGTTGAAAAGTCGTCTTAAGTCTTTACTTGAACATGGAAACCAAATTGAAACACGTCTAACTTAATGAAGTTTTGATTATGCAACCCTTCTTTTTTCGTGCAAATAAAGATGTTTTATTAATTTACAAGATCATTTTGCAAACCCCTACAAATCAAAAATGATTAAAGGGTCTCTGGACAAAGAAATAACATAACTTTTATCAAAATTTCCAATACTTACTTAGTCCAATTATCCCTGTATAGAATATTTAATGATACTGTTATATCCCAAATATTTTCCACAGCCCTCGTTCTACTATCATTTAATGCTTGTTCTATAGCACCAGTTTGACTTTGGATATCTTCATAGGTGCGTTGTGATGGGGTTGGTCTACTTAATTGCCTATTAATTGTTGATGCTAATGTTCTTTGATGCATTTGTGATGCACCACCTTCTATTGCCAAAAATATAAATGATCCTTAAAAAAAGTAAATGGGATAGAATGTTAACATCAAAAAATTGATAAAGTGATTGAGATTTTAAATTCTTAAAAAAATATTTTCATACCTAGTAGCGTATATGCAAAAAGTAATGTACAAATGCCTAAATTTGTTAATAAACTAGCCCAAAATGCTGTTGAATTACTACTTAAGCAACGACAACACTTTCGACGACTTTTCCTTGTAGCATTAACGCCTTGTTGACTTCCACTTACAACGCTTACACTTTTTAATGGTGCTGAGCTATCGTCGCGCTTTAAGGTATTTGTGCAGCTATTGTTCGTTTTACTTAATGTTGGATACGGTTCATATTGATACCGTGTTGAATCTTTTTCTGTCATTGTAATTTCCATTTGAGAATTTTTTTTTGTTTTGATTTCCTTTGTAATATTGAGAGTTTTCAGGTTACGTTTTATTTATTAACAGTTTCAATTGCTGCTTTAAAGACTCCCCGAATATATAATGTACTTAATTTGATATTCCAAATGCAAAATTATTTTATTGCATTGGAATTTTTTAGAATTTTCAATAATAATACATAAATTGGTTTTTTTCTTATTAGCCATTAAATCGAAATTACGAAGTACGGAATCTTCTTGAATACAAAAACGTTTGGCAATATGAACTCTACTTCTTAAATCTCCGCTGAAAATGTTTGCGTCTAGGCCTGCTTGAATTGAATTTTCTTCAAAATAATTTTTTTTCCTTTGTAATTTTAATTTTTTTCTATTTTCAATATTCAATACAAACTTTTGCCTTTATGATTTATTTTAATTTGTAATCTAAAAAAAGGTCTTTTAAAGCCAATTTTAATATTGTGCCAGTGCTGCCAGCTGAAAGCTTCTGATATATTAACTAATAACGTATAATCTCTGCTGTTAATAGTTTCATTCCGAACAAGTTTTTCTCTGAAAAAGAAAAGTTAAAAAATTTTGAATTTTTAAGAAATTTCTTCATTTGTATGTAAGAACATTAAAATTTATATATACTATTCAGTTTTTAAAGAATAATGTGATTTCAGTGAAAACTCACGTGAAAACTGACCCAGCTTGAGTACTTGATTTGAAATCACTACGGTTTCAAGCTTAGCTTTTTATATTAATTCGTTATATGGCGAACAGATTAAAATAATATTGCTTGAAAATGAGTTGACTTTGACATTAGCTGACAAGCATTATATATTAATTTGTCATTATCAATCTTTCAGTAGATTTTCATGTCAAGCTAACATTTTTGTCGGATCGACTTGACTTAAAAATTTCAAGTCAAGTACCATTTTTGTTAACTCGGAACCCGTTTAAAGTCATAATTGTAAAAATAACTTAACTGGAAAATAGAACAAGATCGATTTTACGCGGTGAAATATTAAAATTAATGTGGAATACATATATTTAAATGGGCCGGCTAATCAAACGAAATTACCGCCACTAAATAAACCGCCGGCTCAAAAAAAAGCCTTAATCACATACTATTTATTTGACATTATATGTGCACTTACTTAATTTTGCCGCTCCGTTACCTTTTACCGCTTTTGGTATGTTTGCACAATTAAGTGTAAAATGATTTACACATAAGAAAACGTACTAAGGTTTGCGTCAAGCAGCATTCATTAATTAAAATATGAAATAAATGAAGTAAATGAAGTGAAATATTTCTGTTGCGATGATTGTATTTAAAAGTTAAACCTTGAAAATTTCGCAATATAATTAGTATGTATATGATTTTAATGTATAAAATTTTTGTTTTATACCTTATTCAGACCATGAAATAACATGTCTATATTAAAATTTTTGTCAATTTATAACACATCTTAAAGAATAATATTTATGTCGAAACAAAAGATATTTCGAAGAGTAATATTAGGTTATTCTAAATATGTTGTTCTATATATGAATTTCTTTTTTTCTCAAATCAAAGCAAGTTTGATTTAAATTTTTTTTTAGAAATTAAAATTGAAAACTGTCACTTTGTTATTTCTTAAAAGAATTTTCAAAATTAACTAAATAAGCCATCTGAAATTATACATAGTGCGAAACCGATTTTCCATATCTTAATCGAGTAAGAAAAATTTTATCAGTATCTGTTGTGTCAACATAGTCTTATTAGCAGCAGACTTTTGTAATTTTTATTCTATGGTGTAAACATAGTCTAATTAAGCTTTTTGTTTAATAAAGCGCGATTCAATTAAACCATTACTCCATTTTGCATTTGGAGCTGTAACAGTATACACTGAAAAGATGTGATAAAAGAATTAATTTTTTTAAAATTTTAAAAAGTGATAATTAAAGTGAAATTATAGTTTAAATAAATATTTGATTAAATTATATTTATTTTAAACATGAAGGAAATGTTTTAAATATTAAGTATTTAAATGAGAACTTTGTTTTCGGCATATTTGTAAAAAAAGAAGCTAAAGTCCTTGTACATATGTATGTTTGTATGTATATATGCAGTATATACATGCATTTATACATTCTGCGCCAAAATTCCAACGAAGGCGTCTTATGGCTTTGTATCAAGTGAAAATTTAAAATTTAACCAAATTGTATATACATATGTATTAGTATGTATGTACGTACATGAAATGGAATCCTCAGCTAGTTTAAAAATTGTTCATCAATTCAAAAAAGGAAAAGATCAAAACTGTAAACTGTTCTTGCTGCTGTTATGGGATTCAAAAAATACACAATTAGTGGAATCGACAGAATGAAAGAGGACGTTAATGCCCAAGCGATTTTACATGGGGTAAAAGATACATACATAAGTAGGTACATATGTATGTATGTATTATATGCTAATACAAGTTCGGATTTTGTAAGTAAAGTTGTTTATTCAATAAAGGCGCAAATAAATCAAAACTAAGTATAATAATTATAAACTCGTAATCTAAATTAAACACATACATAATAGAAATTTTCTTTCATTACGAAAAGAAAGTTTCATATCATTGTGTAATTTGAAATTCGAGCAAGAAATATAAGTATGTATGTATGTATGTTTAATGTGATATAATACTATATGTATGTATGTCATATTAAATTTTTAGTGGCAGTAAGTATACAAGTTTTTGCTAGTAGAGTTGCAAGCTCTTTATTCTGTAGAAAGCTCAATATTGCAATTTATTTATATATTTGAGGAAATTGTACTAAGCCCATTGTTTTTCTTTATTGTTTTTACGATGTCAAATTCATGGATTTAATACGAGGATTCGAACTGGATCCGAGCTAGGTGGATCCTTTACCATACAACAAACTGGATCCGAGTTAGGTGGATCCTTTCAACACATGAACGATCTAGTCCCGAGCAGGGTGAATCCTCTCAATATATAGGTGAATAGGATCCGAGTTAGATAGATCCTTTCAACAAAATGAAACGATCTTTTGCAACAAAAAGGCAAACAGGATCTGAGCTAGGTAGATCCTTTCAACATATAATGAAATTTGATCCGAGCGAGGTGGATTCATGCGACAAAAAGTCGAACTGGATCCAAACTAGGTGGATCCTTTCAACACAATGAAACTGGATCCTTGCAACAAAAAAGCAAACAGGATCCGAATTAGGTGGATCCTTTCAACACAATGAAAATGAATACTTACAACAAAAAGGCAAAAAGGATCCGAGCTAGGTGGATCCTTTCAACACATAATGAAAGTGGATCCTTTCAACACATAATGAAAGTGGATCCTTACAACAAAAAGACAAGCAGGATCCGAGCTAGGTGGATCCTTTCAACACATAAAAGGTTCTGGATCCGAGCTAGGTGGATCCTTTCAACTCATAAAAGGTTTATGCAACAAAAAAGGCGAAATGGATCCGAGCTAGGTGGATCATTTCAACATATGAACGATCTGGATCCGAGCTAGGTGGATCCTTTCAACATATGAACGACCTGAATCCGAATTAGATAGAACCAATTGCCACAATGCATCTCATATGGGGTAAGTGCGTACAAATTTTTAACAATAAATTATGTTGCATGTTTTTTGAGTTACTGAGCATCTATGAATGTGAGTTGGTATATTATTCTATATTTGTCTTTGTTACGTTATTCTATATTTGCCTTTGAATGTTATTCTATATCTAATGAAACAAAATACACAAGCTAATATATATTTTAACAATAAAAATAATGATGTCGTATGATCGTTTTTTACGCTTTGTAAGCAAATAATCATCATCAATATCATTATAAAATTATCACCATTATTATCATCATCATTATGACCATTCTGTTATATAATTAAAATTATCAATATTTTTATTGTGTATAAGTGTTATATATTTACGTATGCATATACATACGTATAAATATAGTGAAGTTATTATTACTTAATAATAAAACATTTAGGCGGACTTAAAAAGAGTAAATAAATTATGTATACAGCCACTTAAAACGAGTAATATTTTATCAAAAAAAATAAAAGAACATTAGTTTAGGAAAAATACGGGGTAGACAATTTTACTCGAGGTCGGCTTTATTTCATTCAGAGGAAAGGGAACCCCAAATATTAAGCTAAATTAGGCAGCAATATCATAATTACAGAAATTTTTACGGTATAGAGTGATGCTAGAGGGAGGTATAATAAAAGGGAACACTAGATGAATACAAATACACACATAAATTTACATTTTTTTTTATGTGATTGAATAACTTATAGTCGGAGGAGGAAATGTGGCGTGGCTAGACGTAATATAGAAAATTGATTTGGAAGATTAAGACATGTTACTCAAAAGACTTGAGGTGCTCAGATAGTTAACTTAAAATCTGGCGCTCAATGACGACTTGGTAGTCACGGGGTAGCAGAATGGTGCATTATTGTTAATAGGAGTGCGAGAAATTTATTGCATCAATTCTGAATCTTTCAAAAGTATTCTGAAAATATACAAATAATTGCTGTTAATTTTACGTTTATCGAAGTAATGTATGATTAAAAAGCATCATTTTGAAAACTGAAAATCACGAGCATTGAACTATGTTAGTCTAGGAATTTTTTTTATTTAATGTGATACGATACATTTTTCACAACTAACAACCACTCTTCTACCTTAAGATCCTTATTAATATTATGACTTTGAATTTTTAATTTGAAATTTTTTTATGTTTAATTTTCCTCTTTGTTTTTGTTTTATAATCAGGAAGTGTACAAACGATTACTAAACAGTTATATTTTAGACTCTTGTTACAATATTTTATCCTTTTAACGAAAAACTACTAAAAATAAAAAATATCCTTTCAGAACAGCTCTCCAGATTTCTTTAATAGTCAAAGAAAATCCAATACTGTTACTGATATACAAACATTTATTTTGTGTATGAAATTATACCGTAATCTTTATAAGTATAAGTGTTTAAACCCAAACACACACTTAATTGTATGTAAATTACACACATACAAAACACTACATCATTGTTTGTCAAAGAAATGCATTTTTATAAAGAAAATTATTTTAATCTTTTTTTGCTAGGAATATCATTTTTGTTAAAAAAAAAATAAAACTGGAAGGCAAGAAGAAAATAAGAATTCAAAGGACGAATTACATATATATTCACATACACATTTAATATATATATCGAGTTTATGTGTATATCGAGTACTCATCTGGCTTTAGAATTGTATTTGTTAGTTCTTACCGGTTTTTGGCGGTATTAAATGACCTTTTCAATTGCATGTTTAACGTTAATATTTTTAGTAGGATTTTCTTATTATGTTTCTTTGCCATAGCTGTCTTAAAAAAAGTTATTTTTATTGCTATAAGCTGATCATTTACAAAAGCGTATATTATGTATTATTAAACCAAATATATGCACGTCTTTATTATATGTGTACATTAAACATATGGTAAAGAGAAAAATTAAAGCCCTTGACCAAGGATAAATAATTTATTTTTTACTTTTTAATACTTTTCTTTTAGAAAATGTTGAAAGGAGATTTGAATCCCGTGGACAATATAAAGCAAATGTGTATAGCTTTGCAAAAAGGTCGTTTATATAATATCCGTAGGTTCTTATTAATATCGTAGGATTTGATATTTTATTGAGTACCGGAAATTTGGTAAATTTCTGATTAAAGATACGGTGAGCAAACTAATTTTCTCATATTTTTTTAAACTTTCAATTTAGCTGCCTTGATTTAAGAAGTTAGTTTAATGAAATATTTATTTAGAACTATTAAGAACTGAACTCATAGCCATGGTAAATGCAATCATAATTAAAAGCATTTAGTCAAGTTTCTTTTTGCACTCATATTCACAACTTTGTTACACACAACTTTTTAATTAATTCAAATTTTTAAATTATTATATATATGTAAGTACATAAGCTACAGTCCTCTATCTATTTATAGCAATTTTATCTAACGTGTAAATTCATACAGTAATCAGCAAGAAAAATTAAAATTTCTCATTTGTAAGTCAATGAAAACTAAAAGCATTTCATGAAAACAAAATGAAAATTTGATGAAAGGGAAAGAAAGAAAAAATAATGTATGTAGCCTTAGGTGATTAGTAAGATTAGAGAAACTTTGGCTTTTTTGTTTGTTATTCTGTGGCATTTGCACTTAAAATTCGAAAAAAATAACGTGAAAAGAAGAAAAGAAAATAATTAGCATAATGGCAATTTCTATGAATGTTATTTGTACTGATCCATTTTTACTACTGCATATGCATCACTTTTTATAGAGTTTTTATATTTTAGAGCGAAAAAATGCATTTTAATTATCAGTCCAGATTAGATTTTCATACTTTTTTTTTTGCAAACATGTATTTAAAGTTATTCATTTGCCGACATTAAGGGATTTAAACGTATAAACTAATTTGTAATAAGAACATGAATTGATAAAAAAAGGTGCTGAATACACGACAATGTGCTTACAATGTACATATACCTGTAAAAGCATAAATAGTAATTTTAAGTTACATTTTTGGCAATGTTACGAAAACAACTTAGAAATAGGGTTTATTATAGATTGATCCTTATAACAAGATTCAAATTGTTAGCATTTTTATAATTGACTAGAATTGTTATAAGTATAAGCAGATTGACTATATTGTTAAAACGAAATCTATTCGAGAAAGTGTATTTTTTGACACTCTTTTTTAAAACTGGAGCGATAATCTCAAAATACATTTCCACTATGTATTTTTTTTATGAATTTTTGACTTTCATTTCCAGGTGTATTTTTTTTTCGAGACCACTTATAATGAAAACCGCGGTATCAACTAACTGATTTTTTGACAGTTTGAATTTATATGTTTTTTTTTGCATATTTAAAAAATTAATGATGAATCAATATGAATTTGTTATTCCAAAATCGTTAACTTAAACAGCATTTTCAAAATATTTAATACAATATATATTGTTAATGTTTCAAAACCCGGTATCCTCTATTCCATTATATTTCGCACTTTATTTTTTTATATAGAGTTTATTTAATTCTTTTATTGAAAGTAAATCGATCAAAATAATCAGATTTAAAATGAATTTTTTTTATTTCTCTGTTTGACATTTTCTTTTACCAATGAAATCTGTATACAATTCTGGATTTAATACACAAGCAAATAATATTAAAAAAAATTAATAAATTATTTTGTTTAACTTTAATAAGCGTATGGCTTATTGAAAGTAAAATAAATTTTATGTGTTTTTAATAGCAATCGTGAAATTTCATATAACGTAATACGGTAATGAGTAATGAGCATTTAATTTAAATAAGCGTTCCAATTAAATATTTATATTCATTAAATTCAACAATTTAAAGCAGTTGACCGAATCAAATTTACCAAACACACTAAGCATAATAATAAAAAGTACAATTGACTTAAAAGAACGAAAATTGAAATTAACTTATCTCATAATTAATATTGAATTGTCCCAAATTAAAGAATTATTAATTATACATTTAATGAAATTTAATACTAACATTCGTTAAAAAGTGCAATTACGAATGTTAGTTCCTTTTCTAGAATAATGCCAATTTGCATTGCCGAATTGTTTAAATTGAAGAGCCTTTGCGTGAATTACTAGAATGCGATTAGACTTTAATTCAAATTATTAGGATGATACCTATGTACCATTTAAAAAACTTTAAAGTGGAAAGGTTTTATGAAATATTATCCAGAGGGGTTTGTCATATGAAGAGAAAAATATAATTTTCTGACCACTACCATTTTATTTTTTGTTTGTGATTAATTTATTATATAAAAAGGATTAATTTGAGGTTTCCTTTTTCAAATTTTTGATTCAGCATTTTATTTTTTCTCTTTAATTTTTTTTTAATTTTGTTGAATTTGAATATTATAATATATGGAGGCATATGTATATGATTGTATAAATTATTTGTAGATGTTTTCGTTTAAAATCATATTAATTTTGTGGTAATGCTATAGTATCGTTTCATTTCCTGCATTACATAATATACGGTCAATTACAAAAGTTCATGTGCTATTTTTGTTTAAAATCAACGAACTTCTATATATTATGTTTGTATATATATATAACGTGCTTTTAGTATGTCGTGTTATTTTGCAGTATGTCGTGAAACATATTTTGCTTTTCCGAAATTAGGTCTTGAATAAAAGTGAAATCTTATTAAAGAAAAAGTGCGGTTTTTATTAAAATTTATAAAAAGTATTTGAACATTAATCTACAATCTACGGAATAAGATAGAAACTTATAAGATATGAAATTGTTTTCCGGTTTCTTGACTTTTCTTTAAAATTCTTGAACTTTACAACTTTGGGTTGCAGTCTCCTAGAATTCATTTATTAAAAACTCAGGTAAATCTACATTTTTCAAAATATGAAACGGAAACTTTAATGACTTAAAGGGTAAATCAAATATGTATTGTTAATAATTTTAAATTGAGTCAAATTTTCTACATAAGGTTCAACCTATATAGGTTACAGTTCTATGTATATAAAAATATATATATATATAAATA